AATGTGGCTGGCTCAAGATCATGCAAAGGCTTGAGTAAGATGATCTGACTTCAGATTTACGACTTGTCCAGGATTGCACAATTAATTCTCTCACTCAGATCTAGCCTGAAACAGGAAAATCAAATCAGAGACTTGGCTGAGATTCTTGGAAGGCCTATAAATATCAGTCTGTCCTACTTTCAAGGTTTGGAAACCACTCAATTTCCTCTAATCATGGGCTGTCATTGTATATAAGATAAATGTTACTAAGACTTTAAGGTCAAGGGAAAGCCCTTCACGTTTGAGAGCAAAGGCTCTGGATCCGAGGTCGCAGATGTCTGGAGAACTCCCAGACGAGCAGAGGTCTTCCCCCAAAGTGCAGTGGTCTTCACGAGCAGCTGTCGTGGGCCTGAAGTGCACCTGGCGCCATGGGGACAGAGAGGACACGGCGAGTTCCTCCCATGGGGACCTTTGTCCAGTTTGGAAAGTGGAGGTAGGACCTTCCTGGGAATAAGCTCGCTAGCTGCCTGCTCCCAGGAATTCTGGGCAGGTGCGATCATTATATTTTAAATTTTGTTTTAAGTGACCACAATGCTAACCAGACGATTTGAGTCTCAGAGCCACTCAGCTATGAAAAAGGAAGTCAGGATATAAACCCAGGGAGCCTGACTCCTAAGTGCAGGCTGTGCTTGAAATTTTAAAATCTGAACGTGTGAGTCATACAAGGACTGCGTGTGACCGAAACCCGAGATGCAGACTGTAGCAGTGAGGGACGGGGAGTGTGTGGGCCCCACCACCAACTGGAGGAAGAGAATGTTCGAGGTGTGGCCCAGCTGCCTGGGCGTTTGGTCCCTACTGCGTTTTCTCCCACCCCAGTTGCCCCCAATCCGGGGTTACCACTATTTGAATTGGGGCTCACCATTGCCTTGTTTGTATGGTGTTTGTTGTTTACTACCTGCGTCGTGGTAAATGTTGTGAAGGTGAACTGCTTAGTTTTCTTGCCCTTGACCTTTACATAAAGGCACACAGTGTAGCCTCCTTCTGTGGCTTGCTGTCTCCCACATGCTTCTGAGACTCACCCAGCTGATGTATGTGGCTTTAGTTCATTCATGTCCACTGCTGTCAAATTCCATGGTCTGAATACACCACACTGTATTTATCCAATGTCTTGTGGAAGGACGTCTAGGTCATTTCCATGTGTTTTGTTTGTTTGTTTTGTTTTTAGTTTTGCTGTTACCAACAATACTACTGAGAAAATTCTTGCCTGTGCTCTGGTGCATGTGAGCCAGCAAGGGCTGTGCAAGCTTGGGGTGAGAATGCAGGGTCCTAGGGCTTGTATGTAGTGTCTTCTACTCAGTAGCCCACGAGTAGTTGTGCCGGTTTACCCGAGGCCCTCCGTTGGGGGAGGATCTTTTCAGGGATCAGTAGGGCTTGGGAGACGAGCTCCAGAGTGTTGACTACAGGTCAGCCCTGAGAGTAACCTTGGGAAACACCTGCCCCCAGGTGCGGTGATTCACGCGGTAGGTAATTCACAGAGGCTTGGGCAGACTTGATAGTTTATCTCCAGAGCTGAGCCTCTGAGGCTGGAAACACTTACTCAGTGACTGACATCTCCGGTCACAGGATCCTCCTCTAGGACACAGGGGCACACAGAAACGTCGAGGTGACCTTGCCTCGCCCTGGGGACTTGGCACCCTGGCCGGAGCATGTGGGCCTGGGGGACGTCTCAGGGGCACGTCCTCCTGCAGCAGAATCCAAGGCCGAGGGGTGACCGAGTGGGGTGCGCCTCTCTCCCTGCTTGTTCTTCCTCCTTCTCTTTCTTCCGCCAACATTCATTGTCCTTGTTTTAAATTTTTTATTTTGTAATACATTCAAAAAGTTGAGAAGTGAAAGTATAAAATGACATTAAGGAAAACATCTTGCTCCCATTCCTGATATGCATTTGCTCAGTCCCCACTCTGAAAAGTAGCCACTTTTATTCATGTCTTATGCATCCTTCTAGAGTTATCCTTAGTACAAGTTGCCATGGATGTCAAGTCTTCTTTAAGCCTCTTATTATAGAAAAGTCAGCATGGTATGTACATGCTATCACCTTCTCATGTGACAGTGCCTGTCAGATACCTATCTACTCCACTACACAGAACATTTCATCATTCTTCTTCTAAAAAACAGCTGCGTAGGCCCTCAGTGGATTGAGTACGGGCCTGGGAACCAAAGCGTCACTGGTTCGATTCCCAGTCAGGGCACATACCTGGGTTGCCAGCTAGATCCCCAGCAGGGGGCACTAGAGAGGCAACCACACATTGATGTTTCTCTCTCTTCTTCCCTCCCCCTCCCTAAAAACAAACAAACAAACAAATAAATAAATCTTAAAAAAAACTAGCTATGTACTATTCTGCTGTCTTATGCAAAACCTACTTATCATCTACTATGCACTGCTCTCTCTGCTGAGTACTGGGTTAAAATGATGACTCACCACAGTCCCCGCCTTCAGGGAGACTGCAGTCTAAGGACAGACAGACAGACAATTAGGATAAAGTGTTGCAAGGGCTCTTCCTTCCAAAAATATTTCTTGGGTGCCAACCACTTGTCATGTGTTGCTCTGGGCCTGGGGGGAGTGCGATGGATAAAACCTATGGAAATCCCTGTCCCGTGGCGCTGAGATGATGGGGGCTGAGGGAGGACGTGGTGGGGCCCCCGCCTGGATCTGGGCAGCCGGGAGCCTTCCTGGAGGAGGCGATGTTGTAGCTGACAACTATCGGCCAAGGTGGGATTAGCCAGGCGTGGGCCCGTATTTTTGACAGAGGTCCCCTGCTGGCCACGGTGAGGGGGTGGGAGGCAGCCAGCACCCTGGGGAAGTGAGGGAAGTTGCTACATGTGTGGCCGGAGCTGAGACCTGACAGCAGGTAGCGGCCGGTGGTGGCTGGCCTTGTGGACCACGAGAAGCACCTTATTCTTGTGGACGGCCCCGGGGTGATTGCCGTGTAGAGCGGCTGGGAGAAGATGAGCCATTAGGTGGCAGGCCCACTGGGCAGGGTGGGGGGCAGAGTGTGGGGAAGGCGCGCTGCTCACCTGGCCGGGGGGGCAGAGGTCGAGGGAGGAGGAAATGGACTGGAGAGCACCACTGGGACGTGTGGCCAGGACCTGGTGGGGTGTGAGGAACAGGAGTGGAAGCCTTGTGTTCGTGGGCTGATGGGAAAGGCTCTCAGCTGTGTCCCTGTCCCACCCCGGCGCTCAGCACCCCTCTGCCTGGTGCCTTGTTCTCCCCCGGTCCTGTAAGTTTATTTATAATTTTTGCTACTCTGACCAGGGAAATCTGAGCTTCTAGAAACGTCCCTACTCCTCTTACCACTGTGCACACAAACACACGCCTGCACACCCTGCACACAAACACACCCCACACTACACACACTATATACACATCACACAGACACTACCCCCACCCAGATACCATGTACACACACAGGCACCCCACACACAAGCACACGTTACCTTCACACAGAAACCACACACATACATCACACACACACACACACACACACACACACACACACACACACACACACTGCGCACACAAGCAAACCACACAGGCACACACACAAGGAGTCCTGGTGCAGGCCAGTGCCCACTACTGGAACTGGACTTCCCACTCACCCTGGTCTTTTTCCACCCTCGTCCCCCAAATCACACACCCTAGAGGCAGGCGTGTTCTCCTGTCAGCCCACTGCCGCAGCTGGGCCTGCCGTGCACGGCTGGGTTGGTGTGGGTGCTGCTCCCTGCGTGGCTATCCCCGGGGCCACCGCGGGCCTGTGCACTGCTGGGAAAGCCCGGGCAGAGAGTGCGGCCACACGCTGGCCCTGCGGGAGCTGCCCTGCTGCTGGTTGTGCGGGGAGGGAGACTGCTGAGTGGGAGCAGACAGCCGAGAAGTCAGCATTTCCCCAATCTCCTTGGGCGTCTGACACCTAGGCTGGCCCGGCTCAAGTTTATTTGGTGATTAGATTTGGTCTTGTTTTTTCTCAAGCCTCAAGGGCACGGTGCCACCCAGAACTCTGGCCTGGACCCTGTCCATCACTTATTAGCTGCCTGGAGCTGCCCCTCAGAGAAGGGCTCTGGTGGGTTCCAGAGCAGCCTGGGTCACGGCGGTTGATGTGGGTCCTCTTCTCTGAAGGGGTGGTGACGAAGGGGCCCAGGAAGCGCTGTCCCACCCCTGTCCAGGCTCCACTGGGCAGGAGTCCCCACCTGCTGCCTCCCTTTCCCAGTACCTGCTCCTACTGCCTCTGAGGGCCAGGCCAGACTTAGATGTGGAGAGGGGGGCAGTGTGCAGTTTGTCACTTAGGGTCCCCCTGCTCCGTGGATTGGCGGTAAGAGGATGGATGCTGTGGGCCCTCAGACGTCACTCTCCACCTTTCGTGGAGCTTTCTGTCTGTGATTTGGGCCTGGGGCGAAATCTCCATGCAGCTCTTGTGAAGGTAGACTCCTTGGTCTACAAGCTACTGTGCGTCTGCAGCCCGGGGGCTCTAGCATCCTGGAGGCACTGAAACGTAGTTACTCAGAGACAGCTTCGTGGTGCGTGCAGCTTGCACTCGGAAGGCCCTTGTGCTTGGCTTAATGATTCACTGTTGCTGTCCCTAAATTCCTAATAATTAAAAAAATACTCTATTTATTTATTTTTAGACAGAAGTGAAGAGGGGGAGAAATAGAGGGAGAGAAACGTCAATGTGTGGTTGCCTCTCACATGCCCCCTACTGGGGACCTGTCTGGAGGCAACCCAGGCATGTGCCCTGAGTGGGAATCCAACCAGTGACCCTTTGGTTCCCAGGCTGGCACTCAATCCACTGAGCCACACCAGCCAGGGAAAATTCTCAATAATTTTTAAATAAGGAGCTGGGCATTTTTATTCTCCAGTGGGCCCTGCCAGTTATATGAACGGTCCTATTTACTTTTTGTTGTCTTCCCTTTAGTGTCTTTTGAATTTTGAACTATGGAGATTTAAAAAAATAATAACTAAATCCCGCAAAGGATAAAAACAAAGGGCACATGTATTATTTATTGTACATACTTAGAAACGGTCCCAGGTCCACCGCAGTGCACACTCCACCCGCCTGACCCACAGTCCCGCCGACCCCAGGCAGAGCTGAGTGACGTGCAGAACGCCAGCCATGAAGACGCAGAGACGGGGCTGTGCTCCTGGCCGCCCGCTCCCCTGCCAGGCCCACACTGCTGCCCAGGACAAGCCAGTTTTTACTCCACAGTTGGGAAGGGGAGAAGGGGCTCCCCCTTGCCTCCCTGATCGTGCCCCTCCCTCTCCGCTACCTCTAGGTCTGTAGTCTGTACCTTCAGACTCAGGTGACACCCAGAAACCATACACTAACATCTCTAGCCCGCCTGGAGCTCAGGAAGGAGACTTCCATGGCCAGGGGAAGGTCATCTTGTCTACTCCCCACCCCAGAATGAGCTCTGTCTATGCTGTCTGTACCCAGAAGATTATGGCTTTAGAGTTTCTAGGGACAGAGAATCCATGAGTTCTCCAGGCCCCTCATTCTAGTGTTTGTCACAGATGTGGATTTCTTGTTTGAACCACCGGAGTTACAGTTTCTGCTCATTTCTTACTAAGTTTAAGAGATTGTGATTCTCCTCCCCCACACAGTTTGAAGCGCTAACCTACCCAGAGGTAGCTAGCTCTTCTAGGGTCCTCTGAGCACCCATGGTCCACTTAGCCTGAACGAGAAGAGCACTGCTGCCCTCTGGTGGCCAGTCAGCAGAGGCTCAAGGAGCCATCAGGGAGGGGACCTTCCCCTTCGCTGTCACAGGGGCAAGCAGCTTTGAGTGCTCAGGTAAGTGAATGTCCTTTCACTCTTCCTGGAACACAGGAAGCTTATCCTTGCCTTGCCTTGGGGCCTTGGCCCTTCTACTCTCTCTCCCTGGAACGTTCTTTTGCAGTTCTGAGGTGGTAGCTCCTTGCTCATTCTCTAGCCCTCAGGCCAGATGTTACCTCCAGCACCCAAACCCAGCCCCTGCCCAGTCTTGTTTCACTTTGTTCAAGCACTCTCTTGCTATTTGAAAATATTCATGTAAATTCTGTGTCTGTTGCTTCTCTCCCTCAACATGATGCAGGGTCCAGGGAAACAGGGTCCTTGTCTGTTTCATTTGTCACTGGACCTCTGTACCTCATATATAGTAGTACTCGAAAACACTTGTTAAAGGAATAAATAAATGCATATCAACAAGAATAACTGAGATTTATGCAGAGCTTCTGGTCTTCAAAATTACACTCTGACGTAGGCAGGACATATGCCACCCCATTTGTTAGATTTATGGGCGTGGCCTGAGCGAGGAGGACATAGCCAGGCCCTGGTGGCTTTTCCTGGGCTCCCAAGTGCTTGCTCTGGAGGGCAGAAGGCTGTTCCTGGGCCAGACCCTCATTCCTGGCCCCAATTACCAAGGGAGGCTGGGCCGGGGCTCCGCGGGTGTGGGGCGGTGGCGGCACGGGCCAGGAAGGCTGGTGCACTGCGCTGCAGGGGCAGGGGCCTGTCTGTCTGCAGAGATGCGCATTCTGGAGCCGGAGTGGGCTTGGGGAGGCCATGTGGCAGGAAAGCGGCCAGCGAGGGGACTGTGCCTGCTCCAGGCCGGAATTTAACTGTGACGTTCTGAGTTTCATCAGGACCCTGAGGACCCAGCCCCAGGCTCACTGAACTCAGCCCACAGGAGGGGCTGCCCTCTGATTCTGGACTCAGTGGGACCCAAGGGCATCAGGGCTCCCCCATGGCGCCTGGGCTGGCCAAGCCTGGGCCGGAGGTGGGGCCGGCGGGAGCCCGGGAGGAGCAGGCCCAGGCAGCTGTGTCTCTGGCTGCCCTGAGAGGGAGTCCAGAAGATCAGCAGCATGTGCTCCTGGACTGGTCTTCTGGTGAGAGCTTGATGGAATCTGTGAGGTAATTCTCCAGGATGTTCCGATACTGGGGAGGGAAAGAGAAGTCAGCACCCACACCTGAGCGGCAAGGAGCACCGCCTGCCCTCTGTCGCTTCAGGCTGGGGGTGCTTGGGTGTTTGTCCCTCCCCACTGTGCTGCTGGGAAACAGGCCCAGAGGGGGAGACGCTGACCTCCTCACCCTTTTCCTTCCTTCCCTCCACCAGCGTCTTCCAGGCACACAGAGCAGCTGGGTGGCTGGGTCGGGGACCCAGGTCTCCTGCCCCCCAACCAGGTCCTATAACTTTTCATTCTCCAGAGGGGATAACTGAGGTGATATTGGACCTCACAGAGGTGGGACATCTCCCCACAAACGTCCTGACACCTCAGCCTTCTCTCATCGTGACCACCTCTCGATGTCCCCACTCCTGTCCATCCTCTGTTCTTGCCGTGTCCAGAGAGGCCTCCCTAAACAGACTCAGCGTTTCCACTGGGCCTTTCTGCCTGTCTGCCCACCCTCCCAAACTCTCCTTCCCAACAGGCCCGGAGGAAGCCCCTCTAAGTCTGACGCGCCTCTCCCCACGTAGCTGACCACTTTTCACCTATGCCTCCGCGTGGTGCAGGAGCGCGGGTGGGGCATGGAGAGGGCTTCCTCAGGTTGATGGGTCTACGTGCAGAAGGGTCTCCTGTCAAACAGGTGCCATCCCTTCACTCTGCCACCCCCCGCCCCGTGGCCCCCGAGCTTGCTGAGCTCACGCTCCCCCCCGCAGCTGGTACGTGCACGAGGGTGTGTGCACATGCATACACTCTGCGTGTTCGTGTGGACCGAGAAGGGCAGGGCCTCCTGGGCTGCAGGCCACTTGGGGCTGCAGGGCTGTCTCCAGGGCCCCTCCCTGAAGGAACAAGTCCTAGGGCCCCGGCTGGTGAGTGTCCACAGAGCCCTGAGTCCTGTACCTCTGGCCCCAGGAGGTGGTGTCAGGTGCACCTACTGTACCCTGATGGTGGTGACCCCAAGGCACATGAGAAGGACCCTGTCACTGGCTGCCACCCTCAGACTGAGCGGCGGTTTAGCCCAGCGGCACACAGCTTGTGGCACCGGCCTGGAATCCGGCCTCGCTTCACACAGTTCGTTCGCGGAGAGCCCCCATGTCGCCCCCGCCCCTGCCCCGCCGAGAATGCCTTGGGGACAGCCGCCCTCAGCCAGCTCCGATGATGGGCCTGAGTACCCCTCCACAAATTCTTTTGAGCTATTAGAATTTTACTTGTAATATATTATACTATGGTATGTATAAATATAAGTATGTGTATTAGCAGGCAGGATTAGTATTGGGAATGGGGGAAGTCCCCTAAAGCCTGTCCCTCCGGGGACGCCCCCACATCTCAGACCAACCAGTAGCCTCCCTCTCCCCTGGAGAGTCCCAGCCCCTCTGCACGGCCCCCGCCCGGGGTGCCCCGCGCAGCCCCAGCTCTCACCCTGCGGGAGCACAGTCCTGCCTTGAGGGGCGTGAGGAGAGAAGACGGCCGAGGGGCTCCTTCTCCCCAGCACCACCTGGGCCTGGGCCGGGGGCTCTGGCCCACGCAGCCCCGGGCCTTGTCCAGTCCTCCGACTGGCCGCTCTGCTGTGGGCAGGGCCCCTCACTCCACTGAGCTAACTTGCCTTGAAATCCTGGCATTTCTGGGCCTCGCAGTGAGGGGCAGGGAGGAACGAATGTTACTATGTAGGTCCCTTTTTACCCTGGATGACCCATTTCTCTCAGCAAGACAGGCTTTGAAAAGAGTCTCTTAGTGTGGCACTTTCCTGGTCCCTCTGTCACCACGAAAGCTGAAGAGACCTTGGCTGGGATCGGGAATTTTTAAAATTGGGTCTTTTGGACTCACAGGCAGGGCCTGTTGCGACCTGCCCTCACGTCCATGTAAAGCCCAACCGGGACCCCAGAGCCCCCCACGCGGCCGTTGCCCATGCTGCCAGCCCTGGGGACGGAGACTGGAGAGCCCCAAGAGGCTGTCTGGACGGACAAACAAGTGCCACGCTGCTCAGGAAGGTGTGAGACGCTCCCTCACTCAGCACCCTGGCAGAGCGCGGTGTTCAGCCGCGCTGGTGCTACTCTCACCCAGTAGCAGCCGCACACTCCCAGGCCGAAGTCCGCGTGACGCTCCCCATTGATGACGTCATTTCAGCGATGCGGGCATTGTCCCACTCCTCAGACTTCCTGTAGAAGCTCAGGTAACTGGCAGGCCGCAGTTAGGTTTTCGGTGTGATTTCTCCAGCCCTGCTCCTCTAGGAGAGCACGTGCATGCACCTCGCTGCAAGGTCGCACGTAGCGTCCAAATGCAGGCGTCGTTTCAGTGGGTGTGGTTGTAGGTGTCCGCCCCTCTGAGCCTGGTCGCCTCCGTGGACCTGCCTTTACACCCTGCGTCCTGAGGGTCTCGTGGAGGCCGAGCGGTTTCAGCAGGCACACCCGCCTCCCTCCGAACACAGCAGGTTCGTCTTTCTCCAGTTGGATGCAGGGAGCCGGCCTCCCTGCTGCAGCCCACCTGTGCCCCCGGGCCAGGCCCGTCCCACCCGGTGGGGATGGTGTTGCCAACTCGGTGGAGCAAAACCCCTCATTCCAAATCCCCCAGCACAGGCGGCTGTCCCTTCTTGGGTTATGAGGGTGTTCTGAATCCCATTTCAGAATAAATACCCTAATCCTTGATAGTGGCCAGAGTGTGACAGTGAAGTAACTCCCTACCTTCTTCTCCAAATGTTAGCCGAGTACTTATTCCAAAGGTGCTCTTCTCTCAAATCACTCCTTCCACCCGGGCTCACTGCAGGACCACACGCTCCGAGGCACCTCAAGGACCCTTGAATGCCTCGCACTCCAGTGACGGAATGGCCCTGCTCCTGCTTTCCCCTGTCTCCTGTCTTGGTCCAGGGCATCCCTAATCAGCTGTCCCTGCGCTTCCCAACCTGAACAGCCCCTGACTCCTCCTCTCCTGAGTTCTCCCACCATCAGCCCCTGATGTAACCACCCGTCCTCACCGTGTCCGTCCTCACCGTGTCCGTCCTCGTGGGCCTGGGCGGGAGCAGTGCCCCCTCAACCGCCCACGGAGCCGTCCCCTCTGTGGCACGAAGCGCCCCTGCTGAAAACCCGTGTATGTATAGTTCTTGTTTACAAATAGCTGCTTTTTATTTAATGCCTTCTCTTTGCTGCAGCACTATTTTACTTAGCCCCTGCCACATCCCCATGGGGAAGATACTGTTATTTGTACTTTGATGGGAGGAAAGTGGTGGCTTAGGGAAGCTGCGAGCCTTGCTCAGGGACACAGTGAGGGGGAGGCGGAGCCAGGATTTAAAGCCACGTCTGTCCAGCTGGAGAGCCCAGCTCCCTGCCCTGGGGCCTGGGCTTTCCTCCCTCCTGCAGCAGCACCACCCACCCCGCCTCTGGAGAGACTCTGGCCCCTGTGAGCGAGCGCACAGCCTCCCTGGGAAGGAGCGGAGCGGTCCTCGGAGGAAACGTCTTCGAAAACTCTTGCCTGACCTTGAAATAGAGATTTGTAAACTCCAGCTTCACCTTACACATCTATGTGAGTTGTGCGTGCTCTGCCGTACAACTACGTTTGTTCTAATGTGAAGATGTTCCTCCTGCAAACCTCTGAGTCGTGCAGGCATTGGACCAGACGGCCCCGTGGGGCTTCGAGGCCCCGTGAGCCCTTGCTTGTGCCCCTCTGGCCTTGGAAGAACACAGGAGCCTGAGGTCTCTGTTGGGGTCACTGGGCCTTTGGCATCTGGTGCCGTTGACCCCGTGGGCTTCATTACTGGCCATGACCTCACACCCCACTTCCCTCCGTGCTACATTTCTTTCTCTTATAGACGGAACCCACGGTTGGCTGCTCACAGGAGCCCCTGGCCATGCCCTTCTCCCCGCCTTCTGCCACTACCGCTCACACCCTCACTGGCCCGCCATGTCCGCCTGCGACCTGTGAGTCAGCTTTCAACCGCCGGCTCCCACGCCACTCCTCTGGCAGGCACCCTCCCCACCCTTGCCGCCAGCGGCCTCCGAGTCCCCTCAGTGCCTTGAGCCGCTCCTCCTGTGGCACTTACCTCACTTAGTGTGACTGTCTTACCCCTCTCCCTGAGCTTGGGGACACTGAGGTGCACACTTCCAGCCCTAGTCTGTCAACTCAAGGGATATTTATGGGATTGAATTGTTTCCATTTACAGACGAGGAGACCGAGGCTCAGGGCAGTCGCGGCTCTTGCTCAGGACCGACTTTCGGACTCCTCCTCGGTGAATGTCCCCCATTAAGAGGGGGGACCGACATGGGCTGCCAATCTATTCTTTTGCCAAGTTGGGTGTTCAAAAATACCAACCAGACAAGCTACCATCTACTAAGACCACACCATAGAAGGGACAGAACAGGAAGGACATAATTCTAAGAGTAAAGGACACTCTTCCTTCAGAAAGGATGGATGCTGGTCATGGGGACGCTGGCTGTGGCTGATGGGGCTTCCCTGGGACTGAGTGTCTGGCAGTCATTCACTGTGTCTGTGGAGGGTCACTTGTCATGGGCCGAGCCCTCTTCCTCTGCCTTGCAGGAGGATGGTACAAGCAGGCACAGCTGTATTTTAGGAGCCAACCACGTGGATTGCGTGAGAGGGCCATGCTTCCTGACCAGGCCCTGGAGATAGACACACCCTGCGCCCCAGTTTCTCTTTCCCCTTCACACGCTGGGGGCCGGAGGGAGCCATGAGAATAGCCCGAGAGGCAAACTCTGAGATGAAGGCTTGAGGCGTAAAGATCTTCCCCAGGCAGCTGCTAGAGGTGGCTGCTGCCTTTCTTCACCATCGGCCCTCCAGGCGGGCCTTGAAGTGCTCTGTCCAGGGCCGCTGGCAGAGCAGGGCAAGGGGCGGCCCTCCACGAGGACGGCAGGCACCTCCACACAGCGCAAGCCTCCAAACTCCCATCCTCATTTAACTCATTTCCTTGATTCAAAATCACTGTCGCAATGACCTTCTCCCCTCTTCTCAGAAGCCCACCTTGATTAAATGCAGCAGAACAATGAAACAAGCCGAGCCCTTCCACATGCTAGTCTCTCACGGGCCCTCCTCCCAGTTTCCAATGTCCACATCCGCCTGGTGTTCAAACCTCGCTGCTGCCCCCAGGCAGCCTCCCTTGATCTTTCTCTGTGACTTCCTCCCCTGCCCCCACAGCGCGGTCCCTGTGCCTTTCCTCTGGCGCCCGCAGCCGAGTCCTTCCCTGCCTTACAGTCCTGCCCTGCCTTACAGTCCTGCCCTGCCTCTGAAACCACCGGGCTTATCTGTTTTCCCATGGGGACGAGGGCCCCGATCCCTGCGTGGTGCTTTGCACACGAGACACCCCGACACATGCTTGTTGACGACCTCGCCTGGGTCTCCATCTATCCGTCTTCCTGATGGGAAACCTCAGCAACCCTGCAGGCTTGATATGCTGCTTGGACAATACTGGGCACCATGGGGCTTCTCTCCCACTGAGGCGCATTGAACTAGTCGCCTCTCAAGCTCTTACCAGTTAGAATCTCCAGGGGTGGGCTACAGAACACTATTATTATTATTATTATTTTTAGAAACTCCACAAATGATTTTGACGTCAGCCGGACGGAGGGACCACCGACTGCGTACTTTAAAGTCACTTTGTCCCGCTGGCCCCTGGGCCCTAGAGCTGGAGCCCCTCTGAGCAGCGACTCAGGAACTGAGACGGGAGCAGGTCCGTGCCGCCCACATGCCCGCCTGTGCCCAGTGCCCCTTTCTGCAAGCTCCCGGACCCCCCTCGGCGCTGTCCCACAGCCACTCACCCTTGACAGAGCTCGACTGGCCAGCGTCTCAAAGGCTTGTACCACGTTGATGTCATTCTTGGCACTGACTTCAAAGTAGGGAATATTCTTCTCTTTACACCAGCCTTGGGCTACGGCCTGTGATACCTGAGTGGAGGAAGAAATGACAACTGTCTGTGTCATCGTCGCCACCGTCCCCACCGTCAGCCCATCTCCACCATCTCTACCACCAGTCCCATTTCCCGGGAACTGTCCACATGTCCGTAACTTCACACGTGTTATTCCTCAGCATGAATTTACGAGGTGGCTGTTCCTTCATTTTCCAGATGAGGAAACTGAGCACTAGCGAACAGAAGACTTTGCTCAGAGTGTGTGGGGCCCAGCAGGGTTTGAACACCGGCTTGGCCGAACTAGAGCCCACGCACCGTGCTGCCTTCTGAACGCCTGCACTGGGGGCTCTTCCTGCCATTGGCTCCTTCTTTGGTCCCTTCAAAGGAGTTGGACTCGACAGACACTAGCCAACTCCCCCTGAGCTGCCTGAGCAGGCCCAGGAGGCCTGTTGCTGGGCAGAGATTCAGGTCCCTGCTAACGGTTTACACCCAGGGCAGAGTCTTCGGAACAGTTGATAAGCTCCTGCTATGGGTCAGGCACTCTGTTAGCTATCTTGTCATAGTCATTTCTATAACCTCAGTAACCCTGCCAGATGGGTCACATAAAGACCCACTTTATAGATAAGAACACTGAGGCTCAGGGAGATTCAGTGACTTGCTTCAGATCACACGGCTGAGAAGGGCAGAGTCTGCATGGAGCCCAAGCTCGGGCTCCCACGGCACCTGAGCTGCCCTGCGCAGGACACTGCGTGACAACCGGGCTGCTTTTCTGTCTCCCCCACTGGGCTGTAGGTTCCTTGAGTGCAGGGCCAGGGTCTTTTTAGCTCTCAGCCTGGCGCGGTGAGCCACGCGGTGCAGGCTGATTGATGAGCACGTCACAACCCACGTGCAAATGTCTGACCCGAGTTAGGGGAGGTTAGACTGGAAAAGGTGCCGGCAGCACTGCAGGTTACTTCCAAAGACAATTGCTAACACGGGGTTTAATGGCTAATTACTTTGGGGACCAGAAAAACGACCATATATTTAACATTTGTACCTGGGACTTTATAACCATTTCATTTTATTGAAGGGAGTCAAGGTTTTTCTCATGGAGAAAGGACCATTCTGCCCAACTCCCAGGACACAGTACAGATGCTGCCCTCCTCAAGTTGTCTCCCTGCTCCTGCAGGTTCTGGGGATTTATCTTACTGAGATGAAAGCGGCCCTTGCTGTCCCTTATCTCTCTGGTCTTTGCTTTCCTGGCTGCAGGAGTGGCTCCGGGCTCATGGCATTGCTCTGGCTTTATGCGGCTTGCCACCAGCACTGGCAGGCGGAGACTGGGGGTGGCTAAGCAGCCTGTCCTTTGGGGACCCCCAGTGACACCCCAGGCCAGGTCCAGTCACCCTCCCAGTTGCTGCTGAATCTGAGCAGAGCAGGGAGCCTCTGATCTCTAAGATCCTCCTGCCTTTGGCTACACAGTTCCCAAATCTTGGCCATCAGTATTCCCTTCTGCGGAGCACAGACACTGAAGACCTGGTGAGTCACCGAGAAGCCCCACAGCTTGGGGGAGATCCCGAACTATATGTGGGAGAAGAATCGAGGGTGGCCGGGCTATCGGTTACTGCTGTCCTCACTAGTCACATGCAAATAAATGCTCATTAGAAATTAACATGTTTTACCCCGATGCCATCTTAGAAACACGAGGGCTTTGTATCTTTTTTAAAAATAAATTTTCAATTACAGTGGACATACAATATTATAGGCTTTGTATCTTTTAACGTCCTTGAGGGCAAGGACTGGACTTAGGCTTCTGATTGCTCTTTCCGTCTTTAACTCCCACCCACCTGCCGAGCCCCCACCCCCACCAGACAATGAACGCTTTCCTGGGCACATCGGTCACGTCAGTGGCGCGCAGGAGCTGCAGTAGAAATTGACCTGTGGTGCGATGAAGTCAAGTGCCCCTTCTCTAGTAGGCAGGGAGATTCTTCAAATTCAAGGGTGCAAGAGGCAGAAGCCAGGATTGGTGCCCACGGTCAGCCAGCAACAGAGCTAGGAAGACAAGTTTGCAACTATAGCCGGCTGATCTCAGCTGTCCCTTCTCTCCTACTGGACAGTGACTGGGTTATAACGGATATTTTATTTCCTTTTCCTCATTCTTTCTCTATTCTGTTTACATGCAATAATTAAATACACAACTACAAAATACCATGTTGGAGGTAATGTTGCCATTTAACATACTTTTCTATTCCTATCACTTCTCCTACTGACCCCTCAGAAAGCCAGTCTGGGAAGAAAACAGCCCCAACAGTAACTTTCATATCCCTCTTCCATTTCCAGTTTTTAAATTATTCTTTCTCTTATTTAAAAAATCACAGGTATTTATAACTTAGGCTCTGACTGTGTAAATAAGCTCAGGGTGCGATATTTGGGGACATGGTAAGTATGAAAATTTTGCAAGTGTTACTTCTATTAATTTTGTTTTTGGCTGGCAATGCACTACTAACGTTTTACTTCTCCTGTTGTAGTTTTGGTTCACTGGAGGCCAAAGTTTTGACCAGCTGAGCCCAGTTTATATAATTTTATTTATGATGCTTTTCCATCCCATATACACTTCAAATTATTAATCAGATGCATTAAAATTAATGTGTCAAATGCATCTTAAACCACTACCAGAAATAAAGAATATTTTCAGAAAACATAGTCCCAACATTATGACTCAGTGGCAAGTCAAAAATTGCCTCCCTCAGCTCAGAGCCAGGCATTCACATGCTGGCGAGTGCAGCACAGGGCCCAGCAGAGCCGTTCTTTTAAACAAACTAGTATTTTTCACTCTATGACATAGGAAGAGTGGGGATTTAAAAAAATAGACGTCAATAATTTCTTTAAAAGCATCCTGGAAACACAATTTTTATCGTGGTAAAATACACCTAAACATAAACGTAGCGTTTGAGCCCGTGTAAGTGCACAGTTCAAGGGCTGAGTGTGCAGTCCCATTGTTGTGAGACCACCACCCCGCCGACCTCTAGAACCTTCTCATCGTGACGCTCAGTGACAGAGTTTTCCACGTTTATTTTCTTTTTATTGAGAAGAAGTTCCGTGTCCTGAAGATAACAAGGAGGATGACAATCGCTCCCATCTATGAGGCTAATCGTCACGCAATTTCTCGGGATCTGTGCATGGCCTCTGTCGCCCAGATGAAGAAACTGGAGCTGGCTAAGGGCACTCGTCCCAGAGATGGGATGGGGCTTGCCCGGGGCTGCGCTGCTTCTTTCCAGCCTTTACCTCCCTCTCTCTGCAGGTCCTGCCTCCGTCCAAGCTTGGACTGGACCCTTCCACCCCTCAAGGCGGCATCCGTGCTTCCCCTCCTGCTGGTACCCCTCACCCCTTGAACTCCTGCAGTCTGGAGAGTGCGGTCTTGAACTCTTCCGCTCCACCTCCCCCTGTAGCCTCCACCCCTGCAATACAGCCTCACGGTTCCTCCACTCCGACAGACACCGCCTCTCCACTTCAGCCTCTTCTCGCCAGGGGCAGACCCAGGCCCTCTGTAAATAACACTAAATACGGTCTCCCGTTCTGTGACCACGTCTCCTTTCCCTCCAACCTCCTCGTCCCCTCGCTCCTTCTGCCCTGCTCCTCCACCTCTGCCAGCCCAGACCTCGGCCCTTCCACCTCTTCTTGTCGCTCTTCTTTCCTTCATGGTTCCTCAGTGCCCTCACAGCCTGATCTTCAGCCACTCCTGCCTGGAGAAGTCTCAGTCCCAGGTTCCTCATTCCTGGCTGTAGCCCCACACAGGGCTGCTGGAGAAAAATGCAGCAAAGTCCTCCTTCAGCTAAGCCCTGAGCGTCACCTGCTAGTTTTTGTCTTTGTCCTTGATTTGCTTCTTCATCCTTTCCTCCCCCGAGTAACTGGCAAAGCTTCACCATTGTTCCTGAGACTCCTGCTTAGTTCCTGCTCAAGAAGCTGGTGCCTCTTATTTCACTGAGAAAAGGTCAGACTCAGTCTTGAACTCCCTCAACTTCCCACCCTACGATCTCCAGGGGAATGAAGCAAGATGTTAAAATGGAAGTTCCAGCCAGAGGTGGTATAATCCGACAGACGTCAGACATAAGCAGGCTGGGAGACAGACTGTCCCTGGACCTTGTATATTTCCAAAAGTTCATGACCAAGAATCTGTTAGATGAGTCCCAAACCCACAGCATGGACATTAAAAGATCATCAAGAAGGATTAGAAAGGATTTCTTTAGAGAGAGTTGTGTCCTAGGCACATTCCCCAAAAGAGGGAGAACACGAAAAGCCTCATCTCCACCCAAAAAAGGGCTTTCAGCAGGCCACTTGGAAAGCCTGACACGTGACCCCTGGAGTTTGGTAGCTACAGTGGATCTGCGTGTGACATGCACCGAGGGACCCAATGCAATGGGCATATCGCGCCATTTCTCATTAGCAGCCAACAATGAAAAGAGCTCTGCTCGATGCCACCGTGGAGAACACCCACACACAGTAGGGTCGCCGCAGCCATGGGACAGACAAGCCACCAAGCGGTTAGTCAGAGGATCCAGAACATGCTTCAGCTAATAAAAAAATACATGTGTACTACTTTCTCAGAAAATGTGTAGACTCAAGTATTTATAACCTCAGACCCCTTCCCTGACCCTGGCTAGAAATACTGTCCTACAGGTCAGTCCAAACTCTACAAGCCTACCTCTGATGCCTTAGTTTTTCTACTCTCTGTCTCTAGACAAAATCACCTTTAGTTCTCAGCTCATATCAGGCTGTTTCCTTCCTTTGCTCCTGCTGTTTCATTAGCCTGTACACAACCTACTCTAGGAGGCTCTTTCTAGATTTTGGGTTTCAGCAGATGTGCTTTCACTATGGTCTCCAAATTTCCAAGGTCTACCTCTATCATGGCATTTACGATATTGTATTATAATTACTTTTAAAGTGTCCCTACCCGTTACTAGACTGCAACATTTTTAAGGCAGGGACTGTGTGTGGTTCAGCTCTGAATGTGTGGGACCTAACGCAGTGCCTGGCGTAGCTGATGCTCACATAATGATTGGTGAACCAATGAATGAGTAAATGAACAAATGGTACCTGCCGGTCTGCCAGATCAATCTTGTTCCCCAGCACCACCATGGGATAGGACTGCTCCACTGGAATGATTTTGGCCAGAACATCACCCCGCCAGGTGTCCAGAGCTTCAAAGGACTCCAGATCAGTGACATCAAAAGCCAGGATGCAGCCATCGGAGCCTTTGTAGAACGTGGACACCATGGAGCGGAACCGCTCCTGTCCGCCCGTGTCCCAGATCTGGAGGGGAGAAGAAGCCATCCCGGGGGGCTGTGATGAGTGGCTAGAGTTTTGGCCTAACTGGATCACATCATGTCAAAGCTTCCTTTTCTGGGTGGGGCGCAGATGGTGCAGACAACCCTGGCACAGGTGTGTGTGCTCTTTTCACACACAGGTATCGGCCCTGTCACCCACGTACACTACGGTATCTTGGCGCTCACATTTAGCATCCAAGAGTACTTTGGATGCAGAGCAGAGCCTTGTTTTCCTCTGGGCCATCAGGCCGGGCGCTGTTATTCCCGTCTGATAGATGTGGACCTTGGGAGTGATTTGCCAAGGCCACTCTGCAAGTTTTCCAGGGACCTGAGACTAGGAGTAAGACTTCCCAACTCCCGGAATTAGAGCTCATTCTTCTAGATTCGGAATCAGCAATTTTTTTTCTGTAAAGGCCCAAGTAATAAATATTTTAGGCTTTGTAGACCATACCGTCTGTTGCAACTACTGTGAAAGTACCCATAGACCATAAGTGGGCATGGCTGTGTGCCAATAAAACTTTATTTACAAAAACAGGTGGTGGACCTGATTTGGTCCATGAGCTGAAGTTTGCTGATGTCTGTTCTAAATCATTCTAGCTCCTAATACACATTACTGTGTGAATGACTGTCCAAAAATGTGGGGTGTTTTCAGGTCCGAATGTTGAAGAGGGAAAGGGAGGGCCGCTCACCTGTAGCTTCAAAGTTGTGTCGTCCAGTATGATGATCTTGGAGAGGATACTGGCCCCCAGCGTGGTCTGGTAATCCTCATAAAACGTCTTGTGCACATAGCGGTGGAGGAGGGAGGTCTTCCCTACACTGAGGAAGAAGTCCAGACACATGTAAACACACACATACGGAACGTGTATGCACATCCATACCATTCTCAAAATCTTACCACTCCCCTCTTTCTCTTGAGGCAGTCTCTCCCTGAGATTGTGATCTGACATTTGTGGTCCAGGAATCCCACTTTGAGTAGCAAGGGACTAGAATGGTTTCTAGAAGTAGGGACCAAAGTGAGCAGAGAGGTTTGAAGAGAGCTGGGTGCCCCAGAGCAACGGTCAGGCTTTCCCTGTACGTGGCAGGAGGTGGGAAGGCAGAGAGAGGCTGAGGGGCTTGTTATTGCAGAGCTTGGACCAGAAACCAGCTGGCCGCCTCCCAGCCTCTTTTTCCTACTGAGCTCCCTCCCTTGGGTGACATGCTCTCCCTAGTGCCACCTTGAATCAGAAAAGGACCCAATGGGAGGCAGATATGCATCCAGAAGGTCTCACTACCCTTGGCTAGGGACCTTCTTGCCAACCCCCAGACTCCAAGCTGAGCTTGACTTACCCCAGGGCTCCGATGATGATGAGCTTCAAATCCACCTTCTTCCGGGGATTCATGGAGGGGCTTCAGAACCTGTAGGGAAACAGAAGTCATTCACATGCTGGCCAGAGAGTCCCCTGTGGCTATTGTCACTGAGGGTGGCCTCTACGTTCTCCTCCTAGGTGTGCGGGTCACTGCCCTGGGCAGAGGACTTGTGGGAGGTTGACAGGTGGATGACTCGGCCACCCTTACACACCCTTCACCTCACTTCCTCTGGGGCTTCCCTCGTGCTGCAAGGGCAGTGACCCCACCAGACAGGAGCATCTCTCACCGTTCTACCAGCCCTGACCTCCAAGGCCCCCTGGAGTGTCAGGAAGGCCGGAGAGGATTGGACGTAGGCCTTGCAGACAGTCGAGCCTGGAGCCAGGGATGGAGGGCAGAGCAGGAAGAGCGGATGGAGGCAGGACAAGGGGTCCATTGTCAGGACTACCCAAGAGGCTTTGGATGGAAGCGCGCCCTTCCCCCAGCCCGAGGTGTTGCTGTACTTGCAGAATCAAGGGCTCTTCTTTGAGGCAGCTGGTGGGGCTGTAGTTGGTACATGTTTCTGAAAAGCTAACTGGCAGCGAGTAGTGAGCCTTAAACATGTTCCTGCCCTCCACTCACCAGGAATTTGTCTTAGGGAAATAATCTGAAATTCGGGCAAAGACTCTTGTTCAAGAATGTTCTTCAGGATTATTTACGAACAGCCAACATTCAAGAAGTGGTTAGACACGGCATGGCACACAGTGAACTGTGAGGCAGTCGTTAAAATGCAGTTTTCGAGTATATTATAACAGCATGGGAAAGAGCGGCCACGGGGCCTAAATGAGAGACAGAAGACAAGAAACTGCATGTATGGTACCACCCCACACGGTAAAACGAGTTCCTACTTGGATACCAAAACTTCCGGAAAAAGTATTTAAAAAATTTAAGGGTTTAATTTCGAGTGATGGGAAATTTATGATTTTAATTTTGTTCTCTATGCTTTTTAATATGCTTCAATTTTTTCACAGTAAACATGTCGAACATGCATTGTTCCTGTAAGAGAAGAATAGGCATTGTGCACATGTGTGCATAATATATATATGTATATATATATATAATTTATACATATATATAAATTTTATTTTGTTAACAAAATAAAGCCAAACTTTGCAGAGAATTGTGTTTGCCTGGCTCTTTGGTCTCCCCTTCATTGCACAGACACACATACAGTGTCCCCAGCTCCTGGGCGGTCCATCCCTGGAGGCACTGGGCACACTGAGAAAACCTTAATCTGCCTCTGCCCGGCTAAAGCATCAAAAGGTGGCCAGCTTGGGTTCCCCTGGTACTCGGAAACAATGTTGGACTGGATGTCCTAAGGCCCTGGAGGCTCCAGTTCTCCCTTGGCCGCTGTGTGATCTTGGGCCAGTGACTGCCCCTTTCTGAGTCTTGGCTTTCCAAGTACAGAATGAGCCAGTTGGGCCCCAAAGACTCAAGGTCTCTTCTGGTTGAAAAATGCTTTTTATCTGCTGCAACCGTTACTCCCTGGGCTACAAGAGCCTTGCCTGGGCGTGCCTAGTTAGTGCAGAATCAAAATAGAAAACCTGAAAAGGCCTCAGACTGTTGGTGTCCCTCCTTGGGCCATGCCATGGCTCAAAGGTAATTTGAGGTTCTGCCTGGAGCTGCTTGACCCAGCAGCCAGAGTTGGTGGCATCGGACCTTCTGCCCAGAGGGAGCGGGTTAGCATGGTGGGCAACAGGTCTCCTCAGCGGCTCGTGCATTCATTCAACAAGTGCCTGCACGCCTACTGCACACAAAGCCCTGCACTAGGCGCTGGTGGAGCACAAAGCAAGTAGGAATGCCCACCCTCCTGCCAGGGAGTCATCAGGGGAGAAAGGACTGGGGCTCAGTCATCACACCAGAGAGAAAGTGCCAAGTGCCCCAACTGAGGCACAGAGAGTGTGCTGTGGGAGTTCGGTGAGGACAGAAGGTGACAACTGAACTGGCCCCTGAAGAATGAAACATGTGCTTGGGGCTGACATTTGGAGGAAGCAATGACCCTCCGAAAGGGAATGACGTGAGAACAGCTGAGCGGAGAAAGTGAACGGTCTGCTTTGGGGAGGAGTGAGGGGAAACTCGCGGAGAAAGGAAAGCCTGGAGAGGGAGCGAGATTAGGAACAGACGTGAACGTCAGACCACGGGTCCTGCCATTCCTCCCCTCCTTCCTTTCTTCATTCATTCATTCATCCATTCATGCATTCAGCATTTCTTATGCTCCTGATCTGTGAGGAAGAGAACTCAGGGTATTAACTGGGGCTGGCATTTTGGGATGGGTGTAGCTGTCTACAGCAAAACCAGCCAAGGGAGAAGTGACTCAGAGCCCCTTCAAGGCAGGGGCCCCTCAGCATCAGTCACCACCTGGAAGGGGACGAGGAGCGATGTGGGCTCCCTCGTAAAGGCCCCGGTACCACATGCTTAGCTTCAAAGCCAGAACTCTGCCTTGGGAAGGGAGCCTGAACAGCAGGTCGGCAGGGGAGAGTGGGAAGGAACAGGGGCTGGCCTGCTTCTGCTGGAGAACTTAGGGACTCCTCCCCCGAACCCGATGCGGGGCTACAACAGAGGCTCAGAGGGGCCAAAGCACTGGTTACTCCGCAGGGTCACACAGCAGACAGACTAGCTGCACCCCATTGCTTCCCCTCCTCCTGAGCTTGAATTCATAGGGTCCATGTGCACAGGAAGCAGGGTACTGGGCTCAGGTTTGGGGAGTCTCACCAAACCGTAGCAGAGCTGGAGGAGATGGAGAGAAGGCAGCCGAAGTGCCAGAGCTGCAGCGGTGTGGGAGGGACCACGGGATCGGGGCTGGGCTGGTGCCGTGAGGACTGAGGCGCAGGGAACCGCGCTGATGCTGTGATGGGGCCAGGCTGCCGGGAGATGAGGCTCCCGGAGAAGCTAACATTTGTTTCCTGGAACCGTGAGAGGGTTGTGTGAATATGCAGATAAACAATATGTATACTATTTTGAGGTTAAATGAATTGATACATTATTATACTACATTTAAACCATGCGATACATTATTATAATACATTTACTGGTACCAATAGAGGGCTCAACAAATGGTAGCTGTTTTGTGACTATTAGCACATAAAAAATAGCTTGTGGGATTGACAAGGGGTTTATCTGCTGGAACTGTTACTCACTGGCCTCTCTCTTTTTACTACTGAAGAAACGGATGTTAAGGAAAGTTAGGTCGCTCATCTGTGAAGACACAGCCCATACGTGGCCGAGCCTGGATTCGGAACTGGGATGAACCCAGGTCTAAGTGCAGAGACCGCTCTGTAGCTGCGGGGTTGACTGCCTGCTGTGAGCCCAGCCCCAACGCGAGGATCACACGCCTGGTCCTGGGGGCCCGTCAGAGGGGCTGGGGGCTGGGGGCGTGGCTTTGGCGTGGTGCCGCTGGGCTGGCGTGCCGCCGTGTGCAAAGGAGTCTACAGATGATCAGAGACAAAATACAACACAAAAGTGGGCAAAGAATTTGAACTAAACTCATAGAAGTCTTATAAATGATTAGTAGTAAGCTTTGGAAAGGTAACACAACCTTACCAATTTTTAAGAACATGCAAATTTAAAAATGTCACTTTTTTATCCACCAGATTGGCAAAAAGTTAAAAGATCAGTGATAATATTTAGAGTTGTCAAGTGTGTATGGGTAACATCTTTGTATATTGTTGATAGAGTGCGAATTGTCACAGTCTTCCCTGGAGGGAATTTGACAATGTCAGAACTCAGTACGCGCACACTTCGCTTCTAATCCTGGGAATTTATCCCACAGAAACACGTGTGTACTCAAACACACGCTTGTGCAAAATGATTGCTAAAAAGCACTGCTGTAACCTAAATGTCCACCAAGAACACACTTTCAACCTAAATCATAATCCACCCCTCCTCTGAGTGAGAGTAGAGTAATGAAACAGGAAGATATGATGATGATTAAGTAAAAAAGGGAACATGTTGTGTAGTATGATCCCAGTAACATAAAAATGAACAGCACCCTTATATGTGTGACTACATGTTCAACATTATGTTTGTGCTTTCCCTGTAAATGCACAGGAAGCTAAGGACAGATACACACTAAATGATTACTAGGGGTGGAGAAGGGTGGATTAAAGGCTATGTCTTGTATTGAAATTAGTTACAGAAGCCTAAGTTGTAATTAAAAATATTTAAAAAAGACAACATTTCTTTAAAAAGAGCAATGGATGGATGGAAACCCAAAGTCACCTGGGGGTGACTTCCTGACCAGTCACTCGGGGCCTGGCCTGGGGAGGAGGCGGCCTGGTCCCACGGAGTGGTCATGGGTTTTCGAGTCAGCACGCTCGCTCCACGGCTACCCATCTGCGACTGGGGCTTACTTAACCCGTGTGATTCTGTTCCCTGGTGGGTGGATGGAATCATGCCTGCCTGTGACTTATTCTGCAGGGTGGCATGTGTCATGCTCTTGGAGCAGAACTGGCTCCCCAAATTGGGGAAGACCCCAATAAGTGGTTAACAACTGGGGGGCCAGGGGGAGGCAGATCGCAGTGCCTGCCACTTTCTGCGGTGTAAACATTCCCTCCATGGCTTGTGCCACCCCCCCAGTGGGGCCTGCTGCAGCCCGCTTTAGGAGGGGCGTCCAGTCCAGTCTCCCACCCAGGGCCTGCCTGAGCCGACGCCGCCACATTCGCCGAGCGGTGGAGCCAGACCTGCCTCCTTGGAGCTTCTTCCCCCACCGGGGGAGGCTTTTCCTTGGCAGAAACACAAAATACTCAGTTTCGGCCTAGCCCTTCTGAAGTTTAAGTCTTCTCTGCGTTTTACTTGAGTCTTTTCTTCTCTAGATCCTTGTAACTCGCCTCAGTCCCCTCCCCCCACCATCCTGGTCCCCTTTCCCCGAGGTACCCTTAAAGCGCTGCCACTGCAGATTGCCCGACCCCACCCTCAGAAGGGCAGGAATTTGCTGAGGATGCAGTTTAAAATAGCCTGGTCCAAGGCGCCAGGATAGCCGGCAGCAACAAGACGGTGACTGGGACTGCGGCAGTGGCAAGGCAGGGCGGCTGGTGGGTAGCCCCTGGCTGGCTCAGTGAGGAGGTGCATGCGGATTTCAGATGGTGGTTTAACCACGTGCCCTTGGCCGGACTTGGGCAAAGCTGTCCCTTTAAGCCTCCTCCCACCATTCAGATCACTCAGTTGCTTCAAACCTGGGCATCTGCCTACAGGCCAGGCTGAGTCATCACCCTTCATTGTTCAATAACAGTGAAAAACAGACTTGGAATGCAGGGCCCTGCATTCAGTCAGCTCAGGTCCTCACAGAGCAGTCTCAGGCCACTGCTCTCCATTGCGTGTGACTAGCTCTTCTCCCCTTCTTGCCTGGCTGCGCCTCTGAGCCTGGAGCCCTGGCCCTGCCCATCTGCCAAAGCTGTAGTGTAGCTCAGTCCCTGGGGAGTAAGAGAATAATAATAATAATAATAATAATAATAATAATAATACAATAACAATGAACATGAAATCCTAGGGCTTGGGGCCAGTCGTACAAGAACTCTTGGCGCTGCTGTGCTCTCACATTCCCACTCCCCTTCTCTTCCTCCCTCACTGGCCCCAACCAGGACCTGTGCACAACCTTCCACCCCATTTGTGTTGAGTGAGGTGTCACTTCTGCTGACAAGAAGGAGGGAAGAGGGAGACCAGTGAGCAGGCGGAGATCAGCTCCGGTTTCAGGAGGCTCAGTGCTCCTGTTGAGTTCTTTGGGAGTATTAGTCCCTGAATCCTAATGTCCCAAAGAAGACTGGCATTGGCCAGAGGGCAGGGCAGCGCCTCACACCACTCTGTATGCCTCCAAAGAGCCTGACCCATGCTGGAGATATTGATTCTTCAATACATACTCATCCACCCACTTACCCATCCATCTCCATTGGCTGATCCGCCCGTTCACTCATCCAGCCATCCATCCCCACTCGTCTGCCCATTCATCCTCCATTCACCTGCCTGTCTATCCGTCCATCTAGCCAGCATGTCTACTATATGCCTACTATGCATTATCACTGTGTAGGTCTGAGGAGACAGACAAGGAACTCTTTCCATGGGACTTGTGGAGGATTGATCGGTAAGCCCAAGTAGATTATTTGTCTTAAGACATAATGCCTAGCAATTATAGGGCACTTTGTACTTTACAAAATGCTGTCATGCCCAGTGGATTCCTGAGGCAAGCTGGGACTAGAACCCAGGTCTGCCTGACTGTTGCTTGCCTAGCACTGCAGAGCTGTGCTGAGACGTTCCTATGATTTAGAACAAAAGGAACATTTTCCTGCTCCAGGGTTCCCCCCTTCCTGGCAAGACCCTTTGGATGACGTGCTTCCATCCACAAAGGTACCCTGTTGCTGTGGTGTTAGCAGGACCCAGCCCTCTTGAAAGACTGTCCTTTCTCTGTGCCAGCAGCTGCATCGGCCCGTGCAAAACCCCAAGCTGGGCCCCAGTTCCCGGTGCTGGGCGGGGATTCTCCTCTGCCTGGCTCGCTGCCATGCCTGGGAATTCCTTCTGAGCGGGGGTCTTTGGACTGGATCGAAGCTCTCAGCTGCCGGATTCTAAGCCTCATCCTTGCATCCCCAGCCTCCACTCTCCTCACTAAAACACAAATGCCCCCGGGGCTGCTGAGACAGAAGAACCAAGAAAAACTTCCAAGGCACTTACAGCTGCGGCTGCTTAGCATCGGCCTCCGAGGGCAGGCAGGAGTTTTCTCTGAGTCTGGGGGGGTCTCCTCTTAGATCAACAGTCTCAGCTCGGTCAGAGGAAAAAGGCTTGGGAAGCAAAAAAGAGTCTGTTGAGGCCAAGCCACTTCCTTCTGAGTTTTCCTCCTCTCCCTCTCATGCACAGACTTGGGAAAGTTGCAAAAGAGGCTGGGCCTGGTGACCTCAGCTGCGTGGGTGGAGGGGTGGGGTGAAACTGGAAGGCTAGGCTTCCGAGCCAGCTAGCTTTGGGGTGCTGCGAGGACTCCGTTTGTAGGGACTCTGGCTCTGGGAGTGGGGGGAGGGAGTGAGGAATGGGATGCCCGAGGGCGAATGCTTGTGGGCGTGAGGACCCGGAAGGTGACATGCCTTTGTGGGCACCATGAAAAGCCTATGGCTGGTTTTAGGGACTTCTGCTTCTGCTATTGGAAGTCACCCAGCAAAGCGGCCATGCTATCTGTTGAAGTATTAGGCTCACATGTGTTGTGGTCCCACCAGCAGCCTGTTCGGGAGAGGTTCTGGTCCTGATGCTTTGCCCTGCGCACACACCACTGCATGTCACATCACCGCACACACACCAGACTTATGGGTGGCAAGTTCTGACATCTTTCTGGGTCTCTCGGATGAGATGTGTGACCCAACCTGAGGTAACAGCAATCTAAAATGCTGTGAGTGTGGGGAGCCTATCTATCTCTTTGAGCTGCCTGAAGCCATGCTTTGGGTAACTATGGCTGACAGACACGTTGAACAAACTCAGAAAGAGTCTGGAAGCTTTGGGTAGAGCTAAGTGAGGAAGATTTACTCAGTGGTCTTAGGGTATGCAAACTGGAGACACAACTAGGCAATACCCAGAGTGTCCCAAAGAAGAAAGGGAAGCAGGTCATACAGTGGAAAGCGCGTCCTTGGGAAGAATCAGTCCTGCATTCTTAGCCTTCGAATTGGTCTGAGACCATCGTCTTCTAGATGACCACCTAGACAGTGGTCTGGATAATGGAGGTCAGGTGGTCTGGATACTGAACATTCTTTCCTTAGTTCTCCAGGGAGTAATCAGAAGGTTATCGGAAGGTTTGATGTATGTCCAGGCATTGATGAAAGACTAGAAAGTTTAAGTTCCCAGCTTGTTAAACAAGAGTAGAATGGCTGCCTCTTTGCCTCAGCCTGCTCAATTTTAGTTACTGAGCAGCTTGACTAGAGTGACCCTGTCCAGAGAGATACGGACAGTGAGAGCCTCTGGGGGTGCAGAGACACGTGCGAGCCTATTTCTGGGGACACACCGTAGTTGCCACGGGAGCCTGCTGCTGCGGGTACTTCAGAAAGGGGAAGTGAGCTGTGTTCAGCTAGTCCGTACAGCCTCTGAACGTGGGACTGAAACCTACACCTTTAGGGGACGTTTGCAGAAGTACCCGCAACACCTTTGGCAGCCAAGTCACCCACCATCCTCAGATGCTGGTCCTCACTTCCTCTGTCCATGTGGATCAAAAGTCAGCAACTTCCCTTTTCTTTCTCTGACATGTGCTCCAGTGGAGAATGATGACCAGCCTCTCCCTGTGGGGGAGGCCCTGACGCCGCGTTCATTGCATGCCCCACCCTTCCCTCCCTCCTGAATGCAGCTTTCGACAACCCGAGTCTGTCAGACTGTTGGGGAACACAAAACGGACTCTTGCATTTTATCAGTGGAGGTAGGACATGGTGCAGGTAATGGCATC